TTTCCTATTTGTTTCTTTCTTGTCTACCAGCATTGCCACGAATTGGTATTAGCTTGAGCCATGGCTGTTTAAAGTGATTTTAAACAGCCATGGCTCAAAGACTTCAAGCGCCCAACCTATTTTTTTTTAAATTAAAATGATTTCCTGTCTACAAGGCTGCCGCCTGATCTGCAACATCCATATAAGTGACTGATAACCTAATGTTCATTAAACATGCAACTCTTAACAGCCAAGGCTTGCGTGTAAGAAGGATTCCCGTTCTCGAACTTGGCAGAGATTTCACACTACTGTTGTAAAGCACAGCTACGAAGATGCCTGCCCACAAAGGGCCAAGTCTTCTTAGCCTTTGCTGTGGCTGCTGCTACTGTTTTTAAATCCACATAACGCTGTTCCAGGAATATCTGAGCACTGGAATTGCATAATGTTAGCAAACAGACAAAGTTGTAAGGCTAAAATTAAGTGCCTGAATACTGAAGACTCAGCATTTTATGGGAAAGATTTCAGAAAACAAGTAGAAAAGAATTAATGCTATGTTCTTGGCTAGGCAAGCCTCCTCAGGTCCTTTTCAAAGAGAAAGGTGGGATAAAAATATTTTAAATAAATAAATAAAATACAGTCTCCTCCGCCCTCAGCAGCCTAATGATTGCATTTGGTGCCGTGGTTAAATGAGAGCCCCTTGGTGCAGTGGTTAAATTGCTGTACCACAGCTAAAACTGTGCTCACAACCTGGGGTTCAAATCCCAGGTAGCCGGCTCAAGGTTGACTCAGCTTTCTATCCTTCCGAGGTCGGTAAAATGAGTACCCAGCTTGCTGGGGGGGGGGCAATGTGTAGTCTGCATAAATAACTTGTAGCCCGCCCAGAGAGTGCTTGAAGCGCTATGGGGTGGTATATAAGCAGCACACTTTGCTTTTTTGCTTTGCTTTGTTTGACACCAAGATTATGGATCTTCCTCAGTGGGTAAGCCTGGGCTGTCCCTTCCTCTGTGGCTCCTGGACCCTTCCTGCTTTGTCTGCTGTTCTGTCCCTTCCCCTTCCTCTACCACTGTTCCTGTTCCTTTTAGCTCTCTGATATTAATTGCATGCTATTATTGTGATAGTACTGTATGTTCTCTCTTCTGAATTGCTAAACCCTGTTATTAAAAGAAGAGAGAGGTGTTTAAAAAATAAATGCATAAACGAATGATGTTAACTCTGCTGAAGAATGTGTCACTGAATAGTAGAATACTGCCAGAAAATCTAGCAGATATAGGGTAGACTGCCTTCAAAAGTGGAAAAGGCAGAGTTAGACGTGTCCTTTAGGAGTTGTTTCACAATACCTATCATCCAGACCAGTTCCATTTTCTGGGGACAAACAACAGGGATTGGTATTTTCCTGCTCACATGTCTCCCACAAACATTTGTCTCTTGTTGGTAACACAGTGTTGCTCAAGCGAGACTTTTGGTCTAATCCAGTGGAATAGCCTTTACGTTCTTAATTGCCAAGCAGACATTCCTGGATGACCCAATGAGCAACAGCTCAAAGAAATTCTGAACTGAGGGTGAAAAGCCATCAAAGCACAGCACAGCAATAAGCAATGATTGGTTTTTAAATGCCTAAATGTCAGTGGAGCAAAAGGGAAACCAGCCTCTTTTAAGCGGTGAATAATAAATACACAGCTGTGACATTTCAAGTCTCTCCTTGATCTACCTCCAAGAAAAGGAGATCCAGCCCTTTGAAGGCCCTTGTGGAAATGTAAGAGCCGTCTTGCTCCTTCAGATCAGACCAACCGCCTTTTGTAGCTTGTTGAGGATCGTCTTTCTTAAGATAGAAGATTGGGAATCCCACAAATGGTACATGAAATAAAGTTTCCTGCCTCACTCCTTTTCCCCCAGCAAACAGCAGTCCTGAAACACCTTGATGCCAAAGGTAAAGCCGCCTAGAGTGGTCGCAATGACCAGATAGGCGGGACATAAATAAAATAAATAAATAGCACATAGTAACCATAACCAGCCTTCTCCTTTATGAACACCTGGCAGCTTAACAGAATACTTGGGGGAAAGAAGAAGAAGGCGGAGCTCATGAGAGCAATCTTAGCAATGTCACAGAACAGAATGGCTTCTCCAAAGACTGTAGCATTGTTTTTTGTTTTGCTTCTTTTTTTTTTTACTTTATTGTGAAAGAACCAGAAACAAACTTCAATTTTTCCATTTTCAGTGATACTTACGGCTACAGAGTCTACCACAGAAGCTACTAATTAGATCATTAAATATAGTCTAGGTTATAAAGCTTTCAGTGCTAAGTTATTATTTTTAACAGGTAATATATTTGCCCAATTTAATATTAAACTACATGATCATTTTATTTTAATTAAAATGGAATTCATTGTCCTAAGGTTATGGAAAGCTTTGGCAAGATCAGTGTTTACCTATTTGTTTCACCTTTCTCTGTACAAACGAGTTCCAATGGCGGAAATCAAATAACCAATTGGGGAGATCAAGCGGTAAAGAGCAGCTCACAGTGCAAATGAGTCCACTCTGATGGATGTTTTGAAGCCGCAGCATTTGTGCAGAGAGCTTGTATATGATCACCTCAAAAGGCCTCTGTGCTATTGAATTTACATCAACTAGTCCTCTCAGATGATTATTTAAAGCCCCCTGAAATAAACATCTGAGCAAGAGACAACTGTTTAGAATGACAGGGTTGGGAAAACAACACATCAGAACAGGAAGGAAATTACTGTACAAGGTATGTTGCAGGTTATCTCCATGTCATCAACAGACCCAAGTGAGCAGTGCAGGAACAGAGGTTGTGTGAACTCTAATTGTTGTCAGAACTGCAAAATTTATCTTTGATCATCACTGACCATGTTTGCCATGGCTGATGGAAGATGCAGTCCAATAATATTTGCCGAGTCACACAATCTCACTCCTGCTGTAGTTCACCATGTTGCAAAACTCTTTTCTTACCCGAGGTGCACTATTTAACATTCAGGGGAGCAGCAATGAATTAAAAATACAGAACTTCCTCCCTGAATCCCAGACAGCAGCAGGAGGTCAATGTCAAAACAACACTGGTATCATCTCAGCAACACCATCTAGCCACCAGAGTCCCTCCAGCTTGTTGAAAATATACAATTGCTATCATATTAAGTATTCCGTCAATCTGAATGTGAGTTACTTCTTTGTCCCTATGACGCCACTGAATGTGCCCCACACATGTGCCTAACCAGAGACATTCTTCAAATAAAATTAGGCTCAATGCCCCTACCCACTTCCTTTGGTTCAAGAGAGGATGTAGGAAAAGGTTTTTCCATCATATAATTTTCTTTTACTCAGTATTGGGAACTGCACTGGAAAGTGAGATTCCCTTGCAAATGCCAGAAAACAATGCCTAAGTGCACACATTTAAGTTCCTGTTCACAATAGGTTTGCAGCACTGATGGGGATGATTGGGAAGAACCTAGACGACTGACTGAAAGTCATCCACAACTGCCCAGCCACAGAACACTCAAGGGTGCCAAAGAGTGATCTAAATAGATGCGGACACAGGCTGCTTAAGAAATGGAGATGATTTGCCAACCCTGCATAGATGTGCTTGCAGAAGAGACGTCTAAGCACCCTCCTGGCATTCTGCAAATTGGCCACAGGCCAACATGTGCAACTCTTCAATTATCCACAGTGATCAAAACAATGCTGGCCAGAGTACTCTTCTTTCCAGTGACAGCAGAGCGGATTTTGAAACACAAACTCTTCATGAAAAGTATGAGGGAACTGACAGTAGCTCCGTTTCCTTATCACTTGGCAGACTCCCAAAGGCTTCTTACACTAAAACCAGAGAAAAATAGCTTAAATGCCCTCTGGTGAGACGGTTACTTCACACTCCAGAAAGCTCAGCTTAAATATGGTGTTGTCTAGACTTCTTTGGCTGGCCAACAGAGCAAAATCTCTGATATGGGCAAGGAATTAACACCATAAATTTATTTTCAATTAACACGAAACAATATTGAAATTCACACCAGCAAAAACAACCATATAGGATTCCAGTGGGGTGGGGTTGGGGAATGTTGTTCTACTTCAAGCTAAGCTACATGGGATCCCACAGATGTTGCTGGGCTGCAAGTTCCATCAGCTTGTATTAGCATAGCTGATAGTGAAGGATAATGGGAGTTCCAGTCCAACAATATATGGAAGACCACCAGTTCATCACTCCATTCTACAGAAATATACACGACATTCAATACAAAAGTACTATCAAAGTTATACTGGACTCCTCATTTTCCTTCCCCAAAAATCCACATGTTATGCGAGGCACCACTGTATATGGAAGACCACCAGTTCATCACCCCATTCTACAGAAATATACACAACATTTAATACAAAAGTACTATCAAAGTTATACTGGACTCCTCCTTTTCCTTCCCCAAAAATCCACATGCTAGAAACAGGTGAACTTTATGTACACCACAAGAAAGAAAGAAAGAAAGAAAGAAAGAAGATAAACAGCAATAGATGTTTCTCAACTGTTAATATCACAACTTCTCTCATTTCATCATTCCTGCTCTGAAATTACAGACTGCCTGGGCAGGAGATCGATGATAAAGAAATCCTAATGTTAATATAATAGGTTACATGCTTTTGTTGTACTTGAAGTTCATCACTCTGTGTGTTCTCTACAGTATCCTGTACATTAAAGCACTATTTGGATATGACTTTTACCACCCTTCAAGAAGCATAGATTCAAAATGCTTCAATTTAGTTAATCCAGTCAAGCAAATGGGAACCTCCACTTAGGCCCCCTTTCACTCCCAAGCCATTGGATCCTTTTTACTCCATCCTAGTGTTGCTCCTTTTCTCTCCCAGTTTAGAGTCTGAATCTCAGCATCCAACAGGGCCAGCCCACATACACATGTAGAAGTTTGCATACAGGTATGAATGAGAGCACAGAGAAAGAAGAAACTGCAACTTCACTGCTAGCGAAGGGATTCAAAACAACAGCGCGTTGTGTCATCCAAGAAACTTACCTTGACGAGCAAATGCACACGTTTCTGCAAGCCCTTGGTTATAGCTTCGTGCTGCTCACGTTTACTCTTCTCTTCAAGCAGCTGGCCCTGGACCTTCAGTAATTCTTCTTGTAGCTGTGCTCGTGCCTCCTCCAAACGCCTCGCACTAAAGATGACAAAATGACAAAATCTGAACCACAAGCTTCTGGTTTTGACAGTAAATAGCTTACTGCAAGTGGCATAGGATAAAATCACCTTAATATATGGGAAGATTCTTGACCAGTTACAGTTCCCATTGAATTTATAAAAACTTCTCTCTGAGGCAAATTCCTGGCGCCAACAATCAAGTAAAGAATGTGTTCAGAAATGCATTATAACAACACATGCATGCACACACAGACACATCCATTTATTACTAAAACATCCCACTTATGTTCAGGTGCTTTCAAAGTGTTTTTCACAGCTCTTTGAAGGGGCTCACAAGGATGCAGCACGGTTATATGTTGTGTTCCAGGAAGTGAGCCATGAGAAAGATTGGACCAAGACACTGGAACAACATCCTCTAGCCTCCTTTCCATCACATGAGGCCACACTGAAGGGTGATCCACCACGGACAACCAACATATTGGATCATGAAATGTGGAAACTGGGCAAAGGATTAGATCAAGCTAAGAGCACTTCTCCCACTGAAGATGATAAAGGTTATGAAATGCTAAGGCACATACCTAGACCTTCACGTCTTGGCTTTCATTATTTGGTTTGGAAGCTGGGTAAGTTGCTTAAGGTTTGGACACACAAGGTTACTGTTTGATAGGAAAGCCAGGAATGTTGTCAAATCCCACTTTGTTTTACCCTCTTCTTTGTAAAATTATGAAAAGAATTACAAATAATAGTGGGTGATCTTTTTACAGAAAAGTCACTTATTGTTCCCAGTGCTGGGTGAGTTTTGTATTGGTAGGTATACTATGGACCATGATATTTAACAGGAAAATGAACAATTCTTCCCTGAATATAAGACCTAACCTGAAAATAAGCCCTAATATGATTTTTCAGGATGCTCGTAATATAAGCCCTACCCCCAAAATAAGCCCCAGTTAAGTGACCCCCCGCCCTCCGCCATGTTGCAACAACCAGAAGAAGATGACATGACTATATTTGAATAAATGTAGATGGTTGTACATGAAAGAAATAAAACATCCCCTGAAAATAAGCCCTAAAGTGTTTTTGAAGGAAAAAAAATACTATAAGACCCTGTTTTATTTTGGGGGAAACACAGTAGTTTAAATAGCTGTTTTCCTCAGCACTAAAAATAATCTTACAACATGGCAGTGAAGGACACAATCTGATTTGCATCTTGTTGCATCAAATGTGAATTTATTGGTATCTTCATCATTTTTCCATAGTTGGAATTTTGTGTTCATTTTGACTGTTTTTCTGAGGCTCATTCAATGACTAATCAAATCCTGCAAATCTTGGCTAATCAATTTATTTTAGTCCCACCCTGTTCAATGTAATGACTAACAGTCTACCTTTGGTTGATCCCAAAGTGACTGGTGAACATTTCTAAGCTGACAACCATGTTTTATGGCAGAGGATTATTTCAAGTTGTTGAAATACAGCTTAATATGGGCTTAAATACGCTGGAAGAATGGGGAGATTCTCCGAGTTCTCAATATTTCTTGGCTAAAATAACAGAGTTCTCCTGCCCCACCTCCTAAACAGAAATGCCTAGGAATATACATCTGCTGTTGCATGGGGAAAACATTCAACTAGTATCTAGTTTAAAGTATTGAGAAGTGACTATAGATGGTAAGCAAACCTGAAGTCAGCATTATTACCCTGTGAATTGTAAGCATAAAGTTAGGCTGAGTAGGTTAAAACCCGTATCTGCATAGCACATGGAGAACAAGACAGACCTTTTCTGAACCGTTATTGTGCCTTTTCATTAGACCTCTGACAGGCTGCATTTGTCAGCCCTACTCTTTGGCCAGTTGTACCTTGTTATATCAACTCAACATCCTTTAGTTTAGGACTCTGAGAATCATGTTACAGTATTTCTCTGTCAGTTATTGCAAGGAGCTAATAAAGAATACCCATGCTGCTTAACGTGTTAATTCCTGGACCTGCCGTGTAATGGTCAAGAAGGCCCTGTGTGTGGTCTTTGATGAATGATGGCAATTTTATGGAAGTTTCTGTTTTTCTTTATTTTAATCTTAGAATCTTAGAGCGGCAGAGCTAGAAGGGAGCCTATGGATCATCAAGTCCAGCCCCTGTCAAGGAGGCACAGTGGGGAATTGAACTCCCAACCTCTGGTTGTACAGCCAGATACCCAAACTGTTGAATTATCCCACAGTAAGTCACAGTAAGAACTCTTTCATTTAAATGTGGGTTTTACAGGGAAAATGAAAGGGAATGGTAGAAACAGTGGGAATTGGTAGATGTTCAACAAGGTATTTCTTGCAAGCTTTTTTTTCTCTTTTTCTTTCTATTTGCCCCACTTTAAGAGATTCTCCGATTTACAGCCAGCTGGAATGAGCGCAGCAAAGTTGTTTCCTTTAAATATTTACTGAGCACTGTATTGCCCATTACAATCTTTTTTATACTGGACTGGTAGACTCAGATCTTTGTGAAATGTGTGGGGTGAGAGAACTAACAGTTCATATTGTTCGGCATTGTTTAAGATATAAGACTCAAAAGGGAAAACTTCCTTTGCTTACTGTCTGATTTGGGTGGTTCTGTTGATATACTTTATGACTATACCTTGTCATAATGGTTTGTAGAATTCACTGTTATCTCTCTTACAGCAGTTTCAAGAACCCTGTAATTTAGCTGATCATTTATAATGTGACAATGCTTTTACCAGTGGGCGATAGTAAGCAGACTTTTTGGCTTTGCTTCTCCAATAATTCCCTGAAGAAGAAAAGACATGACACTTTTCTCTCCAATGGAACAATGACCTCAAGAAATTGCAAATAGTTGTGATGGGCACTTCCTATGCCTCAGTTCCCATAATTACCTAGAAAGACACGCACAGTAATATGGAACTATAACATCATTGAATCATAATCCAAACATAATGCTTTCCATAATCTGAATATAGTGTAACTGTAAGAAAACACATCATCATTATATTTACTCTAAGTTATTGGAAGGTCAGAATCAAGCTTTCTATAATAAGACAAAAGTAAACAGATACCTTCATAAAATTGTGTTGTTGCTGTAATTCTCTCGCGCGCACATACATAAACATTGAAACATACTGCTACACTGTTAAATTGATTTTTGATTTCCAAACATCTTTTGGAAATATTTCTCCCATAAGAGAACTCTAAAAGCACTGGCCGCCATTTACTAGGCAAATCTTCCCCTGCCTGCTATCTCCTTTGCAGTTGCATCTTAAATCAGTCAAAAAATTAAAGTGGTGTATGAAAGTCTAGTTCATTTTGAAGCTATTCATATACCAATTTAATAGTCAGAGTATAAAATAATTTTTTTCCATTGTCATACTCAGGTGGGAGAGTTAATCATGAAGGCTATAAATTCTGATGTGGAAAATGGCTAATTTAATAACCAGAACATTACTATGTCTCTGTCCCTTTTTCTGTTTTAATTAATTAGTTACACAGGGAATGGAACCTTTGTCATAAGGTAGCATGTAGATCTTCTGTTAAACCAGTATGAATGCCAGAATTTCAATAATACAGACTCTCACGAAAACGGAGAGACAATGTTTTCTTCTTCCCATTTCTAGCTTCCACTGCTAAAATTTTAGAATACTGTACAGATGAAAGAACCCAATTTTATGCATGGTCATTCTTGAATAAACTAGCTATAGATGATACAACAGTGGGGGTGGGGTGGGGGATGAGTAGAGAGCTAAAAACAAAATCACACTTTCAGTGAATTTTCATTTGCCTTGACAGGAGGATACTTAACTGGCAGGTTATATTCCACAACTGAGTTGCACCAGTGGCCGCAAGAGACAACTTATTTCGTATAGGTTTCGGGAATTGGCTTTGTTGCTGTTTTAAGTACGTGGTTGTCAAAATAACAGGCATATAAGATTTCAAAATTTAACCAGATCACATTTAAAGACAGGTTATGGTTGTCAAAGGCTGAATACTCCTAGAGTCAGGGATGTTTTTCTTAGAGAAGACCCAATGCAAAGACAGTTGTTACTAGATAGGTGGACATCCCCTCTAAGCTCAGGGTAGAAGGGGAAATAAACAGAAGACATTCAGCCAAGCAATGCTAATTCAAAGACAAATATAAAGGAAGAAATCAACTAAGGGCCCTAATACAATTTACAGTCTCAACTCCCTTTGGATCACGGAGCACACACACTAACCTTAAGCAAAATGCACGGTTAAATGTCATTGTTTCTTCTCTCAATTTATAGGGAGCGACTTACAGTAACTGTAATTTATCTAGGCTTGAAAGTACAGCCTCCCATCCCAGAGATAATCTTGCATTATAATGGCTATACACTGCTGTGTAGCTGATACCAAGGAATGGCTTTTCACTCCAGTTTCTGCAAAACAATTCTCGTACAGATTGATCAAGGGTCATATCCATGTCTGTTGGAAATCATCTAAAGGTACTTACTCTACTTTTTACATTTTCATGTGTTAAATATTTTTATTGTCAACTGGTTTGATTTTTTTTTCCTAGTACAGAAGCAGAAAATAAGTAACTATCAAAGGTCTCAGTATATTTAAGCTACTTAACATTCCTGGAGGAGGAGGTGTCCTGAGATGTTTAAGCTCCTTCATTGTTTTCATAGCTGGATGAAGTGTGATCTGAAGTTGAGAGCTGCCAGATCAGAACTCACCATCTTAGCTATCACATTACAGCAGCCATGCCATGGATCCCACCAGGAGAACACCCTGATAAGGTTGTGGGTGTTAACAATTCAAGCAATGCAACTCTTTTATTCTATGTTATTTTTTCCAAAACTCATAAAAAATTAAAGCCCACATCTGACAGCTGACTTGAATGTGTTGGCATTTTGTGAAATCTCTACACGTTCAAAGTATATATTCCTGGCCTTAAAAGAGGAGAAGCCACTTCTGTTTATCAGACTCCTAATGTTTCCCACTACAATGTTTCCTACTACACTATGTCTCCTGAAGGAAGTGGCAGGATCTTTATGTTCCCATAGCTGAG